CGGGTCGGGTGCGGCCAGGCCCGGAGCAGCGGCTGCCAGGCTGGGAGCGGCCAGGCCCGGGGGAGCAGCCAGGTCGGATGCGGCCAGGCCCGGAGCAGCGGCTGCCAGGCTGGGAGCGGCCAGGCCCGGGGGAGCAGGCAGGTCGGGTGCGGCCAGGCCCAGAGCAGCGGCTGCCAGGCTGGGAGCGGCCAGGCCCGGGGGAGCAGGCGGGTTGGGTGCGGCCAGGCCCAGAGCAGCGGCTGCCAGGCTGGGAGCGGCCAGGCCCAGAGCAGCAGCAGCCAAGTCCAGAGCAACTAGGTCGGGACCGGCAGTGACCAGACCCGGAGCAGTTGGTTGTGGAACGAACCAGAGCAACAGAGGCCAGGCCCTGAGCAGCCAGGCCCGGAACAGCTCGCTCCTCGCCTGCCCCTGCCCCACGGCTGCTTCTCAAACATGGCTGGAAACTTTCGTGGGAACTTGAGGGTCTGCTGAATCAAGTGATGAAGGCTTAGATCTGGATGTGTTGAGTTAGTTTAGGGCTGGGGTGTTGATCTGTGAGTGCCTTGGGTGGGACCTGGATGAGGCTGGTGGACCTATTGGGAAATGTCTTTTGTGTGAAGTGTATCATTGGGCATGTGGAGGTATTATTGATTTGAGAAAATGCTAAGTAACTGATTTACTATCTGAAAAGGGATTTACTATTGGGGAAAGGGAGGGAAGAAGAGACTGAACATAAACTGCACCTATGGATGAGGACAATGGGGGATGGGGAGGGGTCGGAGGGTGGGGTGGGAACCTGGTGGAGGGGGGAAGAAATGAGGAACCTTTGTAATAATATGAACAATAAAGATTGATTAAAAAAATAAAATAATAAAATAAAATAAAATAAAAATAAAAAGACCAAAAAAAAACTTACAAGTAGTACATGCAATCCACACTAGAGACTTTCATGCTTAAGCTTTAAAGCAAAAACGATTTTATAAACAGAAAAAAGTTCGGCATATATATATATGTCAAATAAATGGTGACATAAGAGATAGAGGGTCAGATGGATGATGAGAGAGAGGTTTGGAGAACTTTTGTTTGGTATACTATATACTTCTATATTGTTTTAATTTTAAATTACATTTCAACCGGGCAAAATCAAACACCTGAAATCCAGATAATATGAAGTAATTTTACTTCATTTATCCTTTTTTAAACTTGAACATCTCAAAATAATCTTTCTTAGAATCCAAAGAAGCATTTATAAAATTATGGTAAAAAACAACAAAAGACCTTTCCTTGCTGATAGTACTCTCGCAAATATGATGAACGTTCCTAAAACCTGCCAAACTTTGTGTAAGAAGTAAGGCAAGCATCAACCCCACAGAGTAACATAGTACAAGAAGGGCAAGGATTATCTGTATGCTCAGGAAAAGTGTCTTATGACAGGGAGCAGAGTGGCTATGGTGAGCAGACTAAGCTGATTTTCTGGAAAAAAAGGCTAAAACTATAAAGAAGATTGTGCTGAGGCTTGAATGTGTTAAGCCTAACTGCAGATCTAAGAGAATGCTAGCTACTAAGAGATGCAAGCATTTTGAACTGGGAGGAGATAAGGGAGAAAGGATCAAGTGATCCAGCTCTAAGCTTCATATTTTGTTTTATTATATTAAAGTAAAATCTTGGTATGTTCAAAACAACAACAAAAGAGCCCTAGCAGGTTTGGCTCAGTGGATAGTGTAGGCCTGCAGACTGAAAAGTCCTGGGTTTGCAGACTTGATCCCCAGTGGGGGGCGTGCAGGAGGCAGCTGATCAGTGATTCTCATCATTGATATTTCTCTCTGTGTGTGAAATCAAAATACATATATATTTTAAAAGAAGAGCTAGCTTTTGAATTTACTTTAGCAGCTGTAGTAAATTACTATGAAAAAAGCAAATAGTGAAAAGTTACAACTCTGCCCTAGCCAGTATAATAGAGCGTTGGCCTGCGGACTGAAGGGTCCCAGGTTTGATACCCAGTCCAGGGCATGCATGAGGCAGCTGATCAATGATTCTCACTCCTCATGCATGTTTCTATTTCTCTCTCCTTCTCCCTTCCTCTCTGAAATCAATAAAAAATATATCTAATAAAAACTCTAACACTGATTTTAGGTAGAATAATGCAATTAAACAATAGCAGGTAATAATTCTAAAGTACAAGAAACAAAAAACATAAAAATATAAGCTATGTACTCTTAAAACATAAATGGGTATCACAGAATCAATGTATCAGGAAAAATATTTCTGAACCCAAAAGCTCTAAAAAATATTCAAGGTAAAGTAACAAGGTAAATTAACAACCAAAATTAATGTCATAAAAATGAACTAAAGAAAATACCACACCATAGAAATTAAAGGTGCTGTACAGGGTATCCAAATAAAACACCCTATATATGCACAAATGAAAAAATTAAAGGTGCTGTACAGTGTATCCAAATAAAACACCCTATATATGCACAAATGAAAATCGCCTTTGATGATGAGTTTTTTCTCCTAAAGTAAATCTATTTGCTTTAAACACTGCACTACAGAGGCTTTGGAGTATTAGTGAGGAAGCATGGTAGGGAAAGCGCACTGAACTAGAAATAGAAACTTGGGCGTCTTAGTTTGAGTCTCCTGCTGTGCCAATATATGACTCTGGGTACATTATTTAACTTCCCTGAGACTCAGTTTCCCTGTTAGTAGAATAGAATAATAATTACTACCCTATCTACTTCACAAATGGTTTCTATAATGCTTAAATGAGATAAGAAATAAGCCTTTATATTTAATAGCTTTTCTAACTCTTAACTCTGTAATTCTACTTTTATTGTTGTACAACTCAGGAGCCATGTAAGGAATCTAACAACATAGCCAAATGAATTGGGTTTATCCTGAAGCAATGGCTGAGGTACTACTACTACTATCTGATGCATAACATTATAATCCATAAGATATCAGCACTGTAATGCATATGGTATTACATAGCATTATTACCATGTGTTGGTCATTGTTCTTAGTGTTTTGCATGCACTGACTCATTTAATTTTCACAGCAACAGGAAATGGTGATCTCAATTGACAAATCACAAGTGAGAAGGCCACACTGGTTTATGAATTAAGTTTGACTTATATTTCTATATCATAGTGCTTCAAGGTATTTTTCACATTTGATTCTTATAAGCAACCCCATAGGTAAATAGGACAGGCATTCCCCCACCCCCATGTTACAGAGGAGGAAACTAAAGCTGGGTTCCTTGCCCAAGATCAAAAGGGTAATTGCAATCAAAACTAGATCCTAATCTAGGATTTGTCAATCACCATACTACCTCTGCAACTAAAATGAAAAGATGAGCCCTGGATGGTGTGGCTCAGTTGGTTGAGCATCTTCTCATGTACCAAGAGATAATGGGTTTGCTATCCCGTCAGGGCACATGCCTGGGTTGCAGACTTGAATCTGGACATGCAGGAGGCAGCCAATCCATGTTTTTCTCTCTCCCTCCCTTTCTCTCTAAAATCAATAAAAATATATTTAAATAGAAAAAATGAACATATATAAAACTATGAAATCTGATCAATCCAACAACATAATTTCTCACAAGCTACTCATTAATGCAAAAACTCAAACTACTGGACTCTAAAATATATTTTTTAAAATACAAAACTGCTGATGCTATAATGCAAAATAACTTCTTAAATCGGTTGTGTCAAAAATATAGTAAGGCAGACCGGCTGGCGTAGCTCAGTGGTTGAGAGTGATTGAATCAGGAGGTCATAGTTTGATTCCCAGTCAGGGCACTAGCCTGGGTTGGGAGCTTGCTCCCCAGTGCGGAGTGTGTAGGAGGCAGCCGATCAATGATTCGTATCATTAATGTTTCTCTCTCTCCCTTCCTCTCTGAAATCAATATATTTTTATTGATTTTTTTACAGAGAGGAAGGGAGAGAGATAGCTAGAAACGTCGATGAGAGAGAAACATCTACCAGCTGCCTCTTGCACACCCCTACCAGGGATGTGCCCGCAACCAATGTACATGCCCTTGACCGGAATCGAACCTGGGACCTTTCAGTCTGCAGACCGACACTCTACCACTGAGCCAAACCGGCTTCGGCTGAAATCAATAAAAATGTATTTTAAAAAATACAGTAGAGCAGCCCTGGCCAACATGGCTCAGTTGGTTGGAGCATCATCTCCTACACCAAAAAGGTAGCAGGTTTGATTCCTGGTCAGGGCGTGTTCGGGAGGCAAATGATTTTTGTTTCTCTGTCCCTTCCTTTCCATAAAATCAATTTTAAAAATTCAGTAAGGCAAAATAAGTTGGTAGCAAGAAGTCTAAATTATTAATTGTACTTAAGAGTATATTTAAATTAAACACTTCAAGTACAGACCCATTTGCTAAGCATGAAAAACAAACCTGGACCTCATGCCAAGTTGCTAGGCTAAAACCTGCAGCTTATTTTTTGTGTAAGGTGTGTCCCAGGAGGTAAGAAGAACACAAAAAGAAAAAGAAATGGCAAAAGGCTAACAGGAAGGAGGTAGACCAAAGTATATGGAGAATATCTGTATTTCTTGAGGCCTTTCCTATAGGTAATACAACTTAGCAAGTACAACAGAATGACATGTCACCAGAATTCATCTTTGGGATTCAGGCATAGGTAAAACCTCTATTATACAAAAGTACTCCTAATTGTGAATCATAATCAGAAGGGTCCAAGATAAGCCCAATTTATAGCAATATGATTGCACCCATAGCTTATTAAAGTATGCATAAATTTATAAATATATTAATGAGAAATTGAACTTTGAGAGGAACCAAAAGGCTACATAAGGACCCGTATTAGGGAGAATACTTTGTAAAGTATATGATTGTCTAACCAGTATGCTGTATACATGAAACTAATACAGAATATTATTAAGTGTAAACTAAAATTGAAAAAATTTCTAAATGTAAAAACAAAGTAAAAGTCGCATTCATCCAACTCAGTTTACACTGACCAAAGCTGGTTATCCACATTAATACATACCTGATAGAGTTCTTCTAAATTGTACTTAATCGAAGTACTATTCTGGATAGCTTCCACTGCTTCTTTCAGTTTCTGCCATGTTTCATCTGTGTAGTTTTCTGGTAATTTAGGCTTATCTAGATAATATATATATAAAGTTGATATCAGAATAATACGTAGGATAGAGTAACAACTTGTCAGAGCAACAGAAGGATCCATAAAATACAATAATATTACTACTTTTTAAGGGTAAGTTGTGAGCTTTGTAATTATTACACCTGAATATTAAAGTAACCTCTGTATTTAGGCTTAGTATAAAGAACAAAATGTGAAATGGCAGAATATTATTTAAGTCATTTTGAGTCACCTATTAAAACTTAAAGTGAGTTTTTTTCTACTTTTGACTATTGCTTCAAAAAATAAAAATTCAAGAATGACAAATAAAAAAAGCAATCCTGATCTTATTCCATCATGTGTAAAACTTCAGTCAACATGAATTTTATACCTGAGTTTTAAAATACTGAGAACCTATTATATACAAGATACTTTATAAACATCTTAATTTTCCTAATAATGCCTTGAACTAGTTATCTTTTTCCCTATTTTGCAACTGAGAAAACTGAGGCTGGAAGATTTGTTTAGTAAGGTTTGCCCAAGGTCACTATAGTCAGTCAGTAGCAAAATTGGGATTCTAATCCAAATCTGTTTGCCCCCCACATTTATGCAGGATCTACATAAATGGAGACAAACATTTTTAATTCAGGTTTGAATTTAAACTACATTGAGCACAGAGAGACTTTTAAAAATTAAAACACCCCAATGCCTTCAGAACCTATGTAGCATTTTCAGAAAGGAAAGGAACATGTTAATCCAGATATTAATTTATTATCAAAGAGTATTTTTTTCAAATTAAAACATCTAAATGCCTTAATGTGTTTTCTGTTTAAGAGGAAGAGAAAAAAAATCCAAAACCAGTATGCAAATACAATTATGATCATAGCTCATCTATTTAAAAATGCTTGGCTATAAATCGATGTATTTTAAGTGAAACAGTGAACACATTAGTCAATTATAATTTATATCTTCTTCGGAAAAGTCTACTATTAAACCAGGAAGATTACAACACACTCTTGAGAGCCTGGGAATGGAAGAGGAGTGATAGGGGAAAAAAAGGTTAAAAATAAACAACACTATAACCCTCTACTTGAGACAAAATAAAGCATATTCCAGATTTCTAAATTAATGTTGAAAACACAAGCATAAAAAATCTATTTTTCCCAATATTGATATTTAGTCACAAGGCACTAATATGGTAATTACTTTAGTTCATTCATTTACTTCTCCATTTAACAGTTTAGCATCTATTACCTGCCAGCTAAGATTGTTGAAAAAGTCAGAAAAACAGAAACACAGCCAACAGATGCAAACTAATTCAGCTCAATTGACATTTTTTAAATTGCTAATTTTATACTTTTATCAATGTATTCATAATACTCTCAATCACATATCTCAAACAGAAAAATGAACAAATGTTCTGAAAAGCTGCAGGTCAGTACTTTAAAAACCATTTTAATGGTAAAATATAGGCATAGTAATTTTTCCTATCTTTTGATTAGTGGTACAGAGAGTTACTACTTCTGAGTATATACAGCATTTTTCACTTCCAAACCCTACCTTTGGAAAGAAATGCAGAGATCATAAATATTTCTCTCCAAATATTGTTTCCACAATGAGTTTCAAGAATATAGTACTCAACATTATGAATCTAACTATAAATCTTTGAGCATGAAATGATCATCATTGCTACCTGCATTTCTAGAAACTTGAGAATGTGGCCTACTGGAGCACAAAAATAAAAATTCCAGCAGTGCTAAGATCGTGTACCTGAAATAAAGGAAGCTCTTTAGAATATAAATCTCTCACCTGTAAAATCTGGATCACTCATACCGAATGTCAATATTATAAGGAACAACAGATTAGCTACAATAAACTGAGATAAATCTCAAAATCTTGCACAGAAACACCCCGGTGTGTGCTTCAGCCCAAGGATACCAACCACCCCCCGGAAAATGAACCCTCCACCCAAAAAAGGACCTCCCTCCACCTCATTGATTATGCATAAAACATTAGGCCACCTCTATTCTGTTTAATATATTAATATAAATAGGCACGTGACCGCTCTCAAGTGTCAAAATCTTAGGTGATTATGGATTTTAGCCTTGGTTACCTTTAAAGTTCTTGATCACTAACTTCTTAGCAGAGCCAGGCTTGCTGTTAGCAAAGCTAGAGGCGGTTGTAGAAGATTTAGCCAGGCCATTTGCGTGATGCACTGAAGCCACAGAAGAGATTAATATACTCTTATTTTTAAGTTGCTGCTGCTGCTGAGATGTTGCAGCAGTTGGTGAAGATGAGGAGGAGGAGGAGGAGGATTCCTCAGCCATCTTCGCATCAAAACCTACAAACTCCAGGGTGTCTTCAAAGCGCAGCTTCTTCTGTATTGGTACGTGGCTGGAAGCAGCCAACGAAACCCCCACGCAGAAAGCCGAGGTTGAAGGGGATGCCGAATCCCTAGGTGGTAAAGGAGGAGTGGAAGAGGAGGGAGAGGTAGAATCAAAGTCGTCTCTCTCGTTACTACTGTTACTGCCGCTACTGCTGCTGCTGCAGCTATTTAACTTTCTCTTCTTGGCAGAGGTGGGCGGAGTGGTGCTGGTATTACCATCAGTGGCAGATCTGACCTCCTGAGCAGCAGCAGCAGCTGAGGGATTGGGGGAAGAAAAACCTGTTGGAAACATGAAAATAGCGGGGTCAAGAGGCAGAGGAGCATCAAAAACCTACGTTTAGGTGCCTTGCGTGCGTGTAGGAGAGAAGGTGGCAATGCTGGAGGGGGAAGGGAAGAAAGAAGAGAGGAGAAACAGAGGACGAGAAGGAAAGTGAAGGGGGGGCTGCACCGGGGGAATGGGAGGGTTTGGGAAGGCGGATAGGCTGACACCGGGAGCGAGCAGAACAAGGGGGGGAGAGCGAATGAGAAGGCAGACAGGTAAACGGCCAAACCGTCCGCCGTTCCTGCTTTTCGGTCTCTCTCTCCCCCCCTTGCTGCAGGAGCGACTCAGTGAGTCTGTGAGGCGGCAGCTCCGCCCCCCCTCTCCCTCTAGGAGGGAGGGGAGCTGCCCTGGCTGGGGGGAGGGGGAGCGAGCTGAGGCTTGTTATTGTCAATAGCACGAGCGGCTAAAGATGGCGCTACTTCCGGTCACGCGGCCGCGGGAGCGGGGCGGTGTCTGAACCGGAGAGTGGAGGAGGGTGGGGAGAAGCACTGCGGTCTCCAGGGGGGCGGAGGAGCTGGCAAGCCGCGGGAAAGCGGCTACCGGGGTGCTCTAGACACTCGGACTCTAGGGCTCTCGCTCGCTCGCTCTCCCGCCCCCCCGTTTCACTCTCCCGCTCCCCCTCGCACTCTCCCGCCTCCCTTTCGCTCTCCTGCCCCCCCCTCCGCTCCCTCTCCCGCTCCCCCTCTCTCTCCCCGCTCCCCTTCTCACTCTCCGGCTCCCTCTTCTCACTCCCTCCCCCCCAAGCCAAGCGGCACTCTCCTCACCCTGCTCCCTGAAACTCCCTCCGGCTCCTTAAGGGTCCCGGGCCGCGGGCAGCTCCGTGCCGCGGCGTCCTTACCGGAAGTGACTGAAGAGATACTTTTCATAGCTCCCAGATCCAGAAGCCCCCAGGTCCGCAGGACTTGGGGGGTGTGGGGGAGGGGGGAGGGTGAGAGCTTTGGCCCCGGCGGAGGGGGCGGGCCTTCGAGACACCTTCGGAGCCACTGATTGGAGCTCCGCGGACGCCGGGCCGGCGCGCGCGGGGGGGGGGGGGGGGGGGGGAGGGGGGGGGAGAAAGGTGGTGGGAGACGGGATCCGGACGGATCCCGAAAGGGAGGGAAGGTGGTGACTGTGAGGGGCGGGGAGAGCTGGATGGGAAAAGAGGGGAGGAGGGAAAGAGGGATGGAGAAAGGGAGGAAGTCAGGAGTAAAGGAAGGGAGAATGGAAACTTTGCAGGAGATAAAGGAATAAGGAGTGGCGAGGGAAAGGAGTAACCCGAAGTTGATAAAAACAGCATACCACTAAGTCTGCTGCTAGGGAGGAATGTCACGATAGGCTTGGGAAAACGGTTGAGATAGCGAGAAAGGGAGTTTTTGGTTTTGGTTGAGCTGTGAATTGTTTCTCTTATGTGAAGGACACCAATGACCCAATGAATAGGGCCTGAGTTTTTATATCTTTCTCAGTTATGCAGCTGCGAACCCTTTTTCCTTCTTACCAGGAGCATTTTATAAGATGGCAAGCCAAACTTAAGGATGCATTCTAAGATTGATAAACAGGAGGGTAACTAACATACCCCCCACAAATACACACACCCCACCCCACCCCACCCTGACCCATCAGCCATTAACCCAGTAGTATACAGACTAAACAAAGGCATTTAATTTTACTAAATCTTAGCTCATATACATTGTCTAGAAGGAGAGACTTAAGGAGAATATTGGTCAAAATATTAAAACAATATTTTCTATCATTGTATTCCACGACCCAAATTTTTGATTACTCATAAGAACAAACCTCTAAATTTTGCTAAACGGTAAACCTTGTAAATTTCCCGGTGGGAGTTTTTATTTAACCTGAGAACATTGCGAGGAGAGAACACGGTGTCAAACCTGTTGATTGTTCTAACTGGAGAAACATGCAACAAGCACGTATTGAAAGACTTTATATGCCAGAAGCTATGCAAGGCCCTGCCATTGAGGTAAGAGAGTTTCAAGACTAATTTCCATATACTACTATAACAGGTGTACAAACTGCTGCGGAAACAGGGGAAACAAGAAATTTGGGGGAATTTTGTAATGGAGTTTCACAGAAGAATTGACGTTCATGCTGGGTCTTAAAGCGGGGGTTGCCAAAAAGACGCGGACAAAGAAGGTAAAAGGCATCTGGGCAGTGGGAAACAGGCAAAGGAGGGAGTTGTGAGAGGGCCTGGCCTAGTTATAGAAATATGGAAAGTGTAGTGGAGTTGGAATGTAGGATGTGTCTGGTTGGAAGTAAGGAAAGTGAGGCTCAAGAGTGCCTGGCACAAAAAGAGAAAAAAAATTGGGGTCTACACTGTAGGCTAGGATAAATGGCATGGAAACCAGCAAGCAAGCTGGGCTTTTAAAAGCAGGGAAGTGATCGGATTGTGGGTGGAATAAAAGCAGTTTGTGCCCTAGCTGGTGTAGCTCTTAGTTAGAAAGTCGGTCCTCAGTCTCGGGTTTGATTCCTGGTCAAAGGCATGTTCCTGGATTGCAAGTTAGATCCCTGGTCAGCTGCATGCAGGAGGCAACCAATTGAGAAGTCTGACAGAGTTTCTCTCCTTCGCTCCCTCCCTTCCATTGTCTCTAAAAATCAATAGGGGAGAGATAGGTCTATCTGAACCCTAAGAAGAAATAAATTTTCTAACTTTGTTTGCACAGGCTCTCTTTGTTCTTTTTTATTAGTAGTTTTTGTTGTTTTCACTTTGTTTTTGTCTTGGAAATTCCTTGGTTAAAATGCAAATCCTCCTAGAAAAGGTATCCCATTGGGCCATTATCACCTTTGTGCTGTTTGATGAGCCAGCTGAGAGCAAGGCTCTAATGGAACTTAGGCTCCTCGGCCACACACAAATAGGAAGATAGAGGCCTGAAAGGGGAAAGACAGACTCCTGTCTGTTTTTAATGTACCCTATGGTTCTTAGTGCCTAATATGAGATTGTAAACTCTTAAGACCAAGGAAGTTATCCCCAAACATTAAAACTTTGTTTATTTTTTATTATTTTTTTCCTGCCTTTTTTTTTTTTTTTTAACTGCTGCCATAAAAAAGGAATTCTCATCATTTGCAGCAACCTGGATGGAATTGGAGAACATCATGCTGAGTGAAATAAGCCAGTCAATGAAAGAGAAATACCACATGACCTCACTCATTTATGGATAATAAAGAACATTATAAACTGATGAACCAAAAGATAGATATAGAGACAGTAAAACAACAAGCAGACTGTCAAATTACAGCGGGGAGGTTAGGGAGATCTGGGGGAGATAATAGATCAACCGAAGGACTTGTATACATGCATATAAGTACAACCAATGGACACAAAACTTTATTTTGTCTCACATTTCTCAGGATGCTGAACATGTGTATATGTAGAGTAAATACTTATTGAATGGAATATTTCATTGAATGAGAATAAAATAATGCCATGGCTAATTTTCAGGATCATAAACAAGGTTGTTCTAATTCATGCAGTTATATTCCTAAAACGAGTATATGGATGGGTCAGCTGATAATGCCCTAAAAGTACCTCTACTAGGAGGATTTGCATTTTAACCAAGAACTTTGCAAAACAAAATTGTGGGTTCTGTTCTAATTAATGAATTATATTCCTTGGAACAATGTATGGAAGTGCTAGCTATTTTTTAAATGACAAATATTAGTGCAACTGAAAGGCAGCGGGCATAAAGATAAAAGAAAACTAGTTTGCCATACAAAGATAAACTTTTATAAGTAACATAAAGGATAGGCTTTGACCTGTTAATATTCAACTACATTCTAGTAATAATAGCTCCTAATCTGACATGGTTATCTAAATCCTTCACTTTCTGGAGTTGAGTGTGAGTTATGAAAGCACAGATCCTTGGCTCTTGAGCTCTAGTTTAATTTCAGTGGTCCAATAGTTCAACCTACTATTTAAGTTGTCTGTGAAATAGCCTCCAATGAGTTTTGTGGAAAAAATATTTTTTCTTAGTGATTAATAATAATCTTCCTTTTGACACTTTATTGTCTCATTTTACTTTGAGACAGGTTAGTCCTCGGTAAATAGCACATCTTAATATGTATATGTTATTTTAATAGTAATATTTACATTTTATGGCACAAACCAACTTAGATATTATATGATGTATGAGGACCAGAACTTTGTGTCTTCTTGACCCCTTGGACCAATCTAAAGGAAAAAAAACCCTCCCACCTTGCTTTATAAAACATCATTTGCTTCAAGAATCAACCAACTGAGGCTAGCTAAAACAAGTGTATATTCTATACACTCAATGTTAAACACATCCTCAACATAAAAATACGTTTTTCAAGTTTGAAATCACTGAAACCACAATAATGTAGACATGCAGTGTAGGACAACATACAATTATGGCCATTATCAGACTAAACCAGATTGGGCACTTACCACATATTCCATATATTAGAATCTTTCATTTTGTGAGTTCAATTCATACATTAGAAACAGTAATTAAACTTTACACTGCGGCCAAATGATTTATAGTTATTATTGGCCTTCTTTTAATCAAGTAAGTAAATGTGTAGGTACTTATAAAGGCAAAAATATGCATAAAGGAGGAAATAGGATGAGGGCCAGTTTTTCTAATTTCCATTCCTTTACTTCTGAAGTCATCTCTCTAAAAAGGCAGAGTGTAACCTGTTTCCCTGTTTTCATCAAGGGAATTCCCCAGAGTGGTTGATTCTTATCCAGATGTCTCAGAGCAGGGGCTTGTCAAAAGGACAGACACTCCTGGAAGCCTTGTTCTCCATGAGATTTTTGATAAAAATAAGAGATACTGCTTGCTCAGAATACCAAGGATGTTTCTGCAGCCGAATTTGTTTACAACTGTGTCCAGAAAAACAAACTTCTGGGTAAAAGGTGGCCCATGTTCTCTATTCACTTTTATGAAGGACCACTTTTGAAGCAGGGAAATATGGCAAAGGCCAACCAAGCAGTGATGAGATG